CATTCAGACCAACTCCTACGGTAGCCTGATGTTAGTCTTGGTCTCAGCAATGCAATGATGTCTTCAGCTTCAATACTGATAGAACGAACCCTTCAGAGCAGAACCTGCTGTGGCCCATAGTGTAAGTAGCCCTCAACGTGGCTTAGATCCATTCGGCTCATGCGTGGCTGTTATGAATATTTGTGGATTAGGGGCATTTCAGGACTTGAAGTGGGTGAGCTTCCGAGGCACAGCTCGGGGTATTGGGGTGCGCATGTGTACAGTAGTCCCTTTGGCAGATGCTACTCTTTTATGTTTTGTACACTTAAAGCAACAGTCCCAAATCGAATTCGAGGGAAAAAGTGGTTCGTAATGAAGTTGTAGGTGCGGAGGTAAAGAACCGAGTTCAAATAGTTCCTGTAGTCCCAAAACGACCGCAAATGCCTCCGCAGCTAATCACACTCTCTGCACGACTGGCAAATGGGTGGCGCTAATGTAGTCGGTAAGTCCCGCCTCTTTTGACAGTGTTCGTTTCCGTTCTAGCGACGTTTCAAGGCGAGTTTTTCGTTCAGTATCTCTTCGTATCTGCTTGTCTAGGGCTAGCGCATCGTTCCGCACCATTAGTATCGAACAGATCCTGCTGGGACTGTAGCTTTAACCTACACGTTTTCGACGAATTTTTTCTTTTTTGACCCTCCCTGTTTCACCCCAACACATCGCGTTGGTGTGCTAGAACTGCGCTAGTTTGATTCTGAGGCACGTCTTCAACTCTGAGTCCTGGACCTTAACGAGTGCTTTCGGGTGGAATCGAATCTCTGTCCAATGCTCGGAAGGCATCCATGCTAACCATCACATCAAGAACGCGCACATGTGCGTGCGCTGCAAGCCTTTTGATGTGATGGGACGGGAGAGCACAACCGCATGGAGCGCATTGGAAGGGCCGCCGCGTTCATGCTTTCTCCACAAGGATAGAAGGAAGGTCAGGCAGCTAAGCGGGCCAACCGAGGGGTGAACTGATGGGCTTTCATCAGTGCTACCAAATAACCAGTTTTTATTCAGCGCTACTAAATAACCAATGTATAGAAGGTACATGTTAATGTGTTGATATGATTATTGCAATTTATATGCCCATGATGCAAGAATTGCTAATCGTTCAACCGATCCCATCATGTCTTCTCTCCTTTTCCCTTCTTGAGAATCCTATTAAAATGATCACCCACTCCCTCCTAAAAGTTACCTTTATCCAGTAATCCTAAACTTTTGCA